TCCATTCATCGGCTACAACACGGTATCCCACTACTGACCTCAAACATCAGCTGTGAAGGACCGTAGACAAAACTAAATTAAGCGCAGCAAAAGATCCATCCTCTGGTGTCCCCTGAGGGCCCTAACATCACCTTGAACTCAGCAGAAGACCGTGTGAAGGCTTGCCAAGCCTCTGAACATGACCTGGGGAGCGTGCGTGTGGGCAGGAGGAGGCAGAGGATGGAGGGGAGAGATGAAGGGGATGCTGCTGCCTCCGTCGCAGACAAGACAAACGATGCACAGACAGAAGGCACTCGACATTGCTGCCGTATTCAGCAAGTTTCCAGCTACGACAACCCGACTCCGGATCAGCGGATACTTGTGGTTAAGGCCACTTGATAAAGGAGACAGTGCTGACCCCTGAATGATCTTTGCCACCACAAGCCTCTACACTTTTAATTCTCTTATTTAAACAAAAACACTTCATTATCATAATAATTAAAGCAAGAGGATCGGATCAGAGTGTTTTCCTCCAGCAGCCACATGGGGGTATTGTAGCTCAAAAGAGACTGGTGGACCGAAGCTAAGGGTTATAGATTCAACTCACATCAGTCATATCCGAATAGCATCATGATATCTTTAACTCAGTTTTAAGAGAAACACCCAGACTGCAGCAGAGATGGAGACACGGCGTGAGAGCGCAGTTGCCAAGATCTGACCTTGGACTGGAAGCAAACTGGACGGTATCACCCCATTAACTGATGCATGTGGGGAGAAGGAAGTACACTGGGAAATATAATATGTGATGAACTCTTGAAAAGAAAAGTCGGAAAAACAGGTGGTGATATGAATTTCCACTGCTGGGCCACACAAGAACTGTGAGGGCTGGATCAAAGTTGAATGAGATTAAACTGCTCTCATTTAGTTTGAGATCACTGATGTGAAGTGAACTGGTGATTTATTTTGCTGTAAAGATTAATGTCCAGCTGGGGCTGCTTCACCAACACTGACGGGAAAAACATACTTTTTAAAAAATGGTTTTATTAGTTTTATGCTTTGCTATCTTAAATTGTGTTGCTTTTTCAATCATTTACTAGACGCTACTGATAAATGTGTCTATGTCTATATTTTTATTTATTCAATTTTCTAACAACATAAATTGACTATTATGGTACAGAATATCCTTACTTTCATTTCAATGGATGCTACATTTTTAACACGGTTCTCATTTGGACCCTAGAAAGTGTTCAGTCTAAAGCATTTCATTGGTCCACACATTTGCCAAAACTACTGTCAATGTGAAATTTAAAAAAAATAAAATAAAAAAATCCTCTCATAATATTCTCCTTTTGTTGGGGTTGTAACTTTGTATTTGCACGTTTGTTGTCAGATTTTATGACCATTGTAATATTGCTGTATTTTAATTGATAGACCTGGTATTCCCCTTTTGGTCTTCATGAGTTTTAGTTTTCTTTTTCATGAGTTGAGAAAAAGTTTTGATTTGTTTGTAAATTTTAATGTCTAGAAAATGTGAAAAAATTGAATAGTCTGGAATACAATCATGAAGAAGAATCTTTCAAAACTTGCTAAATTTGTCTTTACTATCTCTAAAAATAAAAATGGCTAGAACAGTGTTTTTTCCCATTAACTAAGTTATTGTTAGCCGCTCTCAGTAGAGTTTTTACAGACGATCTTACATCTCATAACTGAATTAAAATGGTGTGTTCAGACTCTTCTGGCTCTCCAGGCTTCCACATTAAAGAAACTGGGAATTAGTTTTTTCTTTTCACATCTTTAGAGGAACCTGCCTCATTTATAAAACTTCATAAAACTCACTTTTTCATTTTAATTTGCAGCAATGATGCAATAAATATTTTATTACGTGCACGTATATATTTGTATTTTTATATAAAATGCTGTGCAGAAGTTTCCGGCACTCAAAGTAAAGCACTTTTAAAAATAAATGCATGAAATGTTTCTATCTATAAATGCAGTTAACAGAAAAAAAACAACTATTGTGAACACTATTTCCCTTTACAATAGAACCAGTTTTTCTTGTTACACTCAAGCAGTTTTAGGTTTTTCTCAGCATCCTGAAGAACCTGCCACTGTTCTTCTGTGGATTTAGGTTGTCTCACTTGTTTGTGTGTCTTCATGTAATCACAAACTGAGGCCTTGTCGGGGCTATAACCATTTACTGCAGAACTCTTTGTTCTTATAGTCACTGAAAATAGCTCTGTGTGTCTCCGGCTGTATGTTTGGCTTGTTGTCATGCTGTAGTCTGAATTTGGGACCAATCAGATGCCTCCCTGATGGTAACATGAACATCTAAAAGGCCTAAAACTGCTACAGTGCTGTGTTTATGTACACTTTGAGTCTATATGTGCAATGATATATGCATAATTAATGTGCTGAAATGTTCTTCTAGTTGTGAATGTGGATATTTACATTCATCAGTTTTACATCTTTCACAATTCTTTTCTAATGTTTTGATTATTTGGATCTGTTTTTCTTTGCTGGATTACTAGACATGTTCACTTAAGCTCATCAACAATAAATAAAATAAAAAAATAACTGTACTTGTGTAAATGTATGTCTTTTTAAATTTTAGGGCGCTTGTACTTTTTTCTTACAATCTATATTTGTCTGACGGTTAAAGTTAGTTTGGGATTCGAGATTACATAATAACATATAGTATAATTCATAACATAACAAGCCTGCAGTGCATTATGCCCTAAAACAAAGCCCAGTTTAAGAACAAGCACATAAAGTTAAACACCCATAATTCAACATTCTTCTCAGTGAGTTCTTTATGGTTGCACATGCAAAGTTTTAAATGCAGGAATCTTGATGATGATAGGTCTCTTTTGTCCATCACTGCAACTTTCTGACATTTTGCACAATGAGACAAACCCGTTTTGTGGAGAAAGTGCAAAACAAAAGTGTCATTCCTAACCAGATTATATTCTAATGATGTGTCCTAATTGGTCTAATTGTCACGCATTTAGTGGATCTAAATCAGCAAAATGCCTCCAGGACAGAGAACACCCCTCACCCCCCCTCTCTCTCTCTCACACACACACACACTAGGTGAGGCTCCTCACTCCAACACACAGCCCTTAAAAATACCCACACGTTCGTGCAGCGGAAGTTTTTAAGCAGCCTTATCTGAAGCTTTATCTGAGTTGGAGATGTGCTGCAGAAAGACGGGTCAAAGGGGACCGCAGGGCTGCCGCAGGGACGAAGCATTAGGGATATGAAACACATGCCAGACCTGTCATGTTCAATTTACAGTTGACACAGTAAGTTAGTATCCAGTAGAACAGAGAGCTGCATTTAAGTTTGGATGCGCTTCATCATCTCTTAGGATTTTCTTTATGAAATCAATGACAGAAAACTGGAGAAACGCTGCACTCAAGCTGCGCAAGGGCGGTGGAAATCAATCATGATGAAAACATTTTCCCATGTCTTGTGTTTCCCCGCCGCGCGTTTACTTTATTTCGCCAATTATTACAGCAAGAGCAGGGCCAGTGTTGACTTTCGCTGCGCCCGAGAAAGATTTTACGGCCATTCATCAGCTCGCGAGGCGCACAAATAGTCTTTAAAACTATAAACACAATCGCTGGGTCGGAGACAGGGGGACCCATTTACCCCGTGGCTGCGCTAAACGCTGAAGATAAAACAAACGATAATACTGTCTGTCTCCTGTGACCGTCTCCACAGGCATTAATAGCAGGTTTAGTGCCAACGGTGAGAGGGGGAACGCACGGAGGTTATGCGTCATTACGCACAGATGTCTCCATTTCAGTGCTGTCAATTCGTGTGCTTAATTATTAATAAATTACTTGTGACGCGCCTAACTGACATCTCATTTGCCAGACTGCTGCGAGTTAGTACACCTGGATATGACAAGTGTGAAATGTGCCGCGCAAAGGTGCCTGAGTAGATAAAGACGCACCACGACGTGAAAAAAAAAAATCAACAAAATGGCAAAAATAAAAATCTTAAGCGCAATAATTTGGCACCGCTGTATTGCCTAAGAAAAAAAGTGTCACACATGACACTTATTTAGGATAACCTGGCCCGCAGCGTGGGTGGGAGTGTGTGTGCGCGCTCAGATTTGTTGTCATCTGTTATCACGTCCTGATAAGGCAGACAGCGGCTCCAGAATCTCTTGGAGGCAGACAGCAGAGTGTGTCACTCCCGGTTTCAGGTTCCGTGTTCAGGGACCCAACCTGTTGTCTGCTCCCCTCTTTCTTGACGCTTGTCTGCTCCATTTCCCCTTCGGATGAGGGACAGGCAGACACCCCAAACACTAACACACACACACACACACACACACACACGATCAGACTTATCAGCCCTCTGTTAATTCCTCCTCTCACTGACTTTAAAAAAAAAATGCAAGTTTGGCTCCTTAGTTGCCATTATACCATTTTCATGTACACTATGTTAGATAAATTATTTCTCTTGGTACTTGAAGACGTGTATAAACATCCGGCCAAAGGCTTGGCTGGAACTGGAATGGCGCCTGGTCTGCGCGTAATGACTGCAAAACTACAAACTATGCAATATATATTATTCCTGTCCTAAAGCAAAGCACAGTGGGAAAATTGCAGATTTAAGAAATTATTTCTAGCCATGCTTTTTGGTTTGTTTTTGAAAGAGAACAACAGATAAACTGGTAGGCCTACAGGCAACATCAGGCCTAACTTGTACGAGACTTATCTGCACGTCATTAAATGGGAGTACCAGTGGATCAGCGTCTCTCTGGTTCCTCTCTCTCCCCCCTTTTCTTCCCTCCTCCTCCCTGCGTCACCGACAGGAGAGAGAGGCCAAGAAAAAAGTTTGGAGACAGAGTTGACATTCAAAATGCACACTTCACTCAAGATCAGTCTGGTATACCAAACTAATACTTAAATCCAGTAAATACTACCAGGAAGGAAAGAGGGTTTGTTGACATCTTTTTGTTGCCTCCATATGACTGATTAATAGTTGTTTTTTTTTTTAAGTTCTTGGCAATGTTTCCCAGTCCCAGCACGTCCACTCCCTTCTCTGTAAAGGATATATTAAACTTGGAGCAGAGTCACGACGTTATGGTGTCTTCTCTGGACGTCTCTTCCCGCATGGACTGCTGCTCGACGTCCTCCTCCTCCTCCTGCATGCTGGCCCGCCTGAAGCAGGAGCCTCTCCGGGACATGTCGTCCACCGCCGTCTCGCTGTTTGGAGAGGACATCCACGACTCCAAAGCCGGCAGAGGCAATGCACTCAACTTTGCTTCTACCTTTTATGGCAAATCCCTCATTGAAATGGATATAAACAAGGATGGGAAAACAGACGCGTTTGAGGGGAAACGAAGGAAAGGTGAGTTGATGAGAGGAGAGGATTTCATTTTGCAGGCCTGTACAAAATTAGGCCTACAGGTTCTAGATTTTTGGATTTGCGCAAAAACGCAACGGATGCTCCAAAAGCAGCTCCACTAGAGCAATACGCACTAATATGAGAAGCAGATTGATACTGGACATAGGCCCGGTCACTATTATTTTTTTAAAAGCAAATATCAAATTTGAGCCCCTTGGCCTGCTGATATTTACCATTTCTGAAAGAAAGATTTTATAAAAATCTGTGTTCCAAAAAAGTTCCAAAGTTGGCATTAAATTACTAAATTATGTATGTGCGTAAATTGTGCCATTTTCCCAAAGCGCACACTAAATACATCACTGGATGCCACGGGAGCTGCACCAGTTTGGGCGTTTATATTATTTCTGATATCATCTGCACTACATGTAAATATTTTCTTTAGTATTAGGAAGTCTCATTTACATTTGTATTAATTTCATCCTTTTTTATCTGTGTGTTTGATTTGATTAGAGGAGTTCAGTGTTGCTGCCGAGGTTGTGGAGGACTTAAAGCCCGAGGATCCCGACCGACCCAAGCCCCGGAGACGCAGGAAGCCGCGCGTCCTCTTCTCCCAGGCGCAGGTGTACGAGCTGGAGCGCCGCTTCAAGCAGCAGAGGTACCTGTCGGCCCCGGAGAGAGACCACCTGGCCGGCGTGCTCAAACTGACCCCGACCCAGGTAAAGATCTGGTTCCAGAACAGGAGGTACAAGTGCAAGCGGCAGAGGCAGGACCAGAGCCTGGAGATGGTGTCTCTGCCGCCGCCCAGGAGGGTGTCGGTGCCGGTGCTGGTGCGGGATGGGAAGCCCTGTCTCACGGCAGACACGGCCACATACAACCCCTCCTACAGCATGGGCCACATCAACCATTTCACTTATAACAACTACCCGGCTTTCAGCAACTACACCAGCCCCGGCTGCAACACGAACTATGCATGCAATTACCCCGCAGCCACAATGCAGACTATGCAAGGATCCTCCAACAGCGGGAATTACATGAACTTTGGGGTTGGGGACTTGAATAATGTCCAGAACACTTTCTCCTCCAGTAACGGGGTGTCTTCGTTACACGGCATTAGGACATGGTAAACAAGGGACAACAACAAAAAAAATCCAAATTATTACTATTATTAATTCACTTTAATTGGATTATTTTGTGACTGCATGCATTTTTTTTGAAACATTGCGGAGTTTGTCTAACTTCTTTTACATTTAATACTTTTGGTAAATAGTTTTGTTTTCAGCACCAGTTTTTGTCTGAATAGATTCCTACGTTTTCATTTATTTCCAGCGCTGTGTAATTTGAGAGAGAATAAAAAAAACAAAAAACAAGTTGCAACCACGGTTCCTTAAATGTTATTTTGAAATGTCAATTTGCCAAGGCCATTTTCTATTTATTTATTTTTAATTCTTCCTCCATTTGATGTTGGAAGAGAATTGTCAAATATAAAACACAACATTTTCTGTGGATGACTATAAAAATACAGCCCAATTATATAATCTAATAATTAGGCTGCTATGAAAAAAATATTTTACATCATTATTGTTATTATCACATATTTCTGACATGCACCTACAGCCTCAGTGTGCCTGGTTCAGCTGTGGCTACCATTTCCTGACTCTTTACAAATACTTGAAACAATATTAGACAAACATAAAGTGGGCAGTTCAATATGCAATAATAAACTACAATTATAGTTTCACATATAATCCATGTCTCTGGTTCAGTCACTAGTTGAACTGGTTACAGAGCGACATAAAGGAGCCTGACGATGTACAACCTTTGCATGGTTTGTGTCTGGTTAAAGTGTTCAAGTGGCTATTAGGAAGCTTCCTTCAATATGCTTAAACAAGGTTAAAAGGTTGTTAAAAGTTTACACTTTTTACAACCTACTGTCAGCCGCATGTACTCTACATACACGTGTTTAAAGTCTGCTGCTGCTGCATGGAGCAGAGAAGGCTGTCAGCCATGACCTTGACCTTTCCTAAATGTTTTAAACTAGGATCTGATAAAACAACGCTAAAACGGACGCTTCAATTTTTTAAAAACATCTATTTGACATTTATTGAATTGTATGTAGAAAAATTTTCTACACAGAATTAGCAATATTCCAAGATTCCCTTTTCTCTGCACTTAAAAATTGGACAAATCTTGGTGAAACCTGGTCCAAGTTATTTATTAAATTGAGACAGTAAACTTCTAAAGTTTACCTTCCTAAAACCTTTTCTTCTGGTAGGTAATGACTTTTTCATTTGAAAATTTTCCTGGTTAAGTTTAACTGGACTCACACTCAGTATTAACTATATACTCGTTAAATATTAGCAAGAACAAAGCTTGTGTAATGTACATTTTTCTACATGAATATGGAGTTAAATATATTCCCGGTAGTCGTCTGGGTCCCGTGTTTATACCATCAGTGTGTATGCTCCCAAGAGCTCAGCCCACTTGTCCAGATACAAACCCAAACACTTGATTGACAGTATCTCGGTGCTAAATGCAAGAATAGTCCAATTTGCTTGACAGAGAGCCAGAGGCCTGGCCTAAGTGTGCAGTTATATGAACAGGCTAGGAACCGGCTCTGCCCAACTGCCACCACTTTACATGAGTAAGAGATGCTTAGGCATCTCTCAGGTCTCTCCACACATACTCTGTTGTCTGCTATCATATTTTAAACAAAACCCACTCACAAAAGCACATTTGAAACACCAAATCAGAAGCCTTTGTGTTTATTAATAATCAATACTGACAGCATTTACATATATTTAACAAAACGGCAATGCCAGGCAATTGCAGAAAGGGTAGCAAGGTCATGTAGCTCCTCTGGCCACCCTCTCCTGCGTGGTGTTGAAAAGGCAACGTCAGATAACAGTGCCACACAAACCTAAAAATATCCCCCCTCACCCTCCACCCACACTGGAAAGGGAGAGGGAAACGGGTCGGAATAATCTGCTTTTCCGGGTCTTATCTGAAGAAAGGCAGGGATGCATGCTGTTCTATCTCTGCCAGTGTGAACACTGCTACTCCTTTTCTGAGCTTTTCTGCTCTGCTGCAGCCTCAGAGCCGAGCTTAGACACGAGCAGAGATGGAGCAGGACTCTCACACTTAATAAAGGGTTTCTTTTGTTTTTTGTTTTTGCTTTACATGCTGACTGAATAAAACATGGGGACAATTGTGAGTGCACGTACACAGTACTAGTGCTGTCCAGCCAGTGAAACACAAACTGAGTGAGTGCAGTTGGGCCTGAATCATATTAAAGCTAAAAAAGCATTTTCAGTGTTCTATAATTTAAAAATAGCATCATTATGCAGTTATAAATTACACCATACAGTAATTATACAGTATACGGCCATAAATAGCATTTTCACAAGAAAGTTTGCACAGTGATTATATGATATTGGATGATTAAAAAAAAGGTACCATTAATGGAAACTGTATGACTGTTACACCGACGTGTTCAGTCATACTATTGATCCCAAAGATGCTACGGTGCCATTTCATGCTCCTATTGAGCAACAGCAATTAATAGTATTGTATACTATAATATTAATTAACAACAGATATGCCAATTAAAGTTATTTTTTTCCCGTGATCATCACATTTTCCTGAAATGCTGCTACCACATTCCTCTCTATTACTTTTCAAAAACCCTAAAAATTACTCGCTGTGTCACATGTAAAAATCTGTTTTACATTACCGGCACTCAAGTAAAGATGGACTTCTGACACAGTTTGCACCCTCTATCCCAGAAGAATGATTTTTTTCCTTCAGTGTGACAAATTAAAAACCATGTAAATAAATAAAACGCTGCATAAGCTATAGGTGCGCAAGTTTACCTTCCTCTTTGCGGACAATATTTCACTCTCAGCAGCATCACAGTTCAGTCAAGTGAGCAGTCCACATTCCACCGAGCAGACACTCGAGTGTAACATGAGAAGCAGCGTTCAGGGTTGTGTAAATCGTTTGCGTTGACTATGGAAAGTACTGTAGTGTTTTAATGGGAGAGCTCCTCAGAGGTACCTGGTTTATAGGAAGGGGAACAGTCTCTTCTTGAGGATGTAGAGCACGGTGGCGAGGAAGAGCGCCAACGCCAGGAAGATGAGCAGTTTATCAGTCAGCTCCCTGCGGTTGTACTTGGTGATGAGTTTTCTCCCGAGCTGAATGGTTCCCGTCATGGTCTTAAACTCCTCATTCGTCTCCTGGATTGTTCTCGACGAGGTTGCTTCAAACGGAAAAGGAAACTGTTTTCAACACAAAGCCGCTTCTTGGAAGGAGTTGGGGGTTACACACACACATCATTAACATAAATGGATATTCATTCGGAATGTGAGCATTAAAACAGTCTAACCTTTAAAAAGTTTAATTGCTCTGAATAAACAGGAACATAAACAGCTAACCCTTGATGCTTTCTAAATGTCAAATACATTCAACACAACTCAGTCAATACTCATACTGAAGTATTTAGATAAAAGTATAAATAGGATTATACTGAATGTGCTCTATTGGGTGTTTCCTTCACTTACCTAGTGACGTTATGGTCTCCTCACTCTGCTGAACTTGCTGAGCCATCATCCGGCTGATGTTCATAAGATTTTCCGTTATGTCACTGGTTGTCTGGGCCAGGCCCTCTTTGGTCATCTTCCTGGAACAAAAGAAAAAAGATATTGCTCTATAAACGTCCTCAAGCAAATGATATGTATCGATTTAAAGAACTTGAAAAAAACAAAAACAAAACATTCTTCTGAATACAACACTAAAACAATGCCAGGTTAAAATCAAGTTTTTGCTGACATGTACATACGGTGTTCTTTATATTCTAGAAATGATAAAATAAGTGAAATAAGCAGTCAACGCCATGACTGGGCATTTCCACCTTGAAACTGCAGCATACTCATGACAGTCTCAAAAGCTCAGACACAATTAAAGATGTACCAGAACTAAGGAACTAATTCCAATGACTTATGAAACAGGAAGTTCTGTATCATTATTCTTCTTGTGGTTCAAATATGTATGGCTGAATTACTCCAATATTACAGCTTGCCACTGTGTAGTAATGGTGAGCTAATGTGCTTGAGCTGCAGCAAATAGAGGAAAGATGGGGTGGGTGGAAAAAGAGGCAGAGACTTCATTGAACTGCACATTCTAGAGAAAGCAACGGTGTAGAGTTACATATAAGCCATTTTAAGGCAGGAATCATCATCAGTCATGGACAAAAGCTTCAAAATATGCAACTTGAAACACAGAAAGGAGTGTTTCCTTCAGTGAATGGAGAGGAATTCTAAAGATCCTTTGCGAAATAAGGATGACTGTCTCTAAAATTAGGACACACTGGCAGCTCACCTCTGCCTCACAGCGCTATCAGATCCACTGAGAAGTGCCTGCTTTTCCATGTTGTCGATGGAGAGTTTGCTGGCCAGGTTGGCTTTCCTCCAGGCTGTCTGGTTACTGCAAAACACACAAAAATGCAAGTAAATACACATTTTCACCATATAGGTATTAAGCACATTTATACTTCTCATGCACATGTCAACAGGTTTGGTCAGCAATATTAACACATAAACACCCACTGCATATAGCCAATCATATTTCTGAAAGTCAAGGTATGATAAAATAGTTTCTTCAAAAACACTTTACCTCAACATCTGTTTTTTGTGTCCCTCGACCTGGCTGAGCAAAGCTTGTTTGTCTGACTCTCTGTCCTGCTCCATTGCCATCTGCTCAAAGTCCTGACCAGGAAGCAAAAATCACACATTTTATGTTACGTGAGTGAAAACAATAAAAGTGTTTCATGTAGAGCCTAGAACTCATATTCTGACGTTTGTAAAGACATCCCAAAGTCTCACCTGAATCCTTTGTCTGAGGTTGTGGAAACTCTTCTTCACTTCAGCGTTTACTTCTGTCAGCTTGCTCTGAGGTCCTGGACACTCAATAATGTCCTGGTGAAACAGTGAAACAGGGATGGTTTTAGAATGTGATCCCTCAATGTAAACATGTCTAAACTGTTCAAACAAAATACTGAATGCAAAACAGAATGACACCACAGTCTGAATATAAGACTAAATAAAGAACTGTAGCATTTCCAATTTGGATAATTTTCAATATGAATTATTTGCAGACTATTTTTGCAATCAAGATAAGTCACAATTATGTGTTTGGCATCTTAAAAACAACACCCATTGCAATCAGTACCCAGTAGAAAAGTAAGATTGATGTAAGAAATTAACCTAACAATTATAACTATTCAGGTGACAGTGACATTTATGGTGTGAATTTACCCTAGTAATGTTAACATTAAAGATAAAACCCCCACCAAACATGATGTAGCACATCTTCACCCTACCGTACTACAATAAATATTAAGGGTAAGACCCTAGAGTGAAATAAATTAGGGAGAATATTGTAATTAAATTAAAATTTTAGCTATGACCCCACAAAAATCTACATGAAACACGCTAATTTCAAGGATTTCCTGAATCCCTTTGACCAATATTTGTTTGATTTATGATGAACCTATAAAATATAAGAAAAAATGAATGTAAAATCTGTGGCTGGGCTGTCCTGTCTCTCAAAAACCCCAAATATTCAATTTACAGTGACCTGAAGCAGCAAATTCTCACAATTGAGGACCACTAAATGCTTACTTAGTCAGACTTTTTGATATTATCCGGTTCTGGAATCATACCAACAATAACGTGGACTACAATATTACAAAATAAGCTTAAAGAGACAGTACGTTTAAATAATAAAGAGCTGGGTAACACGAGCTAAACAGTGGCGTCATCTGAAGCCGCACTGGACAATCATTAACCAACATTATGCTAAGGCTCCTGCTTCGAGTCCTTCTGGAACAGTTGTGATTTCCCACTTGCTAAAATTAGTTTAACCAGTCCTTAATAATATTCTACAGTCCGTTTGAACTTACAGAAACAACTTAAAGCACTTTTACTCCACTAGTGGAGGTTTAAAGTGTCGCTGCACCTTCTGGCTGCTTCTAGAAACACTTGATGTAGCTCACATGCTAACAGCTAAAAAAAAACACGATTTCTTTACATGACAAGCTCAACAACCTGCGTGTCCTAACGAAGCATCATCAAGTCTTACCAAATAAATACTCGCACCTGGATGAGAGCCTTGATTTCCAGGTCATATTTGAGTATTTCTTGTTCGCATATTCGGACGTGGACATCTGAGGACGCCATATTGCCAACGTAGCCGGCTGAAACTACGGCGAGCAGGAAGCCGCTTTTTTTCACTTCGACTTAAAATGAACCTTCTATATGTGATAATACTGAAACAACACGAACATTATATAAAAGAAACAACACAATAAGTATAAAGAAATTCACACAGTCCATGAAAAAATCTGGGAACAAACTGCACTTAAATTAAACAAATGTACTGCCTGCATGCCTATTAAGGCAATATTTGGTGGTTAAACACATCCTAAAAATAAAACGCATATATTGTTTACATGTCAACGATTAAAACAAACAAAAAAAATCTAAAATGACATTACTTGCTAGAAAGATTATATCAATACACCTCCAGGAAAGACCACGACTTCATACTTGAGTGAAAACAAAGTACAAAAGTTATGGACCAGTCGAGTTGATTATTAATTTCTTTATTCATTCTCAAATGGATTACATCCATCACTAGCATATACAGACAAAAACAAGATCTCAAACACACCTCACAACAATCATTTAATCAAACATCATCCATATTCACAATAGCATTAAACACAATGTACACAATATATAAACCGGAAAACAAGTGAAGGCTGATTTAATTTAAAGTAAAGCACATCCAGGGACATCTCTTTGTCTTTTGGGAATCATTTTTGTACAAGGCACCAGTGTGGGCATCTCTCAGTAATCACACAGGGATCTGAGTTTTAAGGCGATTCCAGGGAATGATCTCTGTGGAAGCAAACATCCATTGGTTTGCAGGAGTGTCAGGTCCTCGGCTGCAGAGAGAAAGTACAAGAAACATTGTTTTTGAGAAACCAAGCCAAGCAACAAAATGAATTCGCTAGAGGCTACAAATAGGTATAAGGTGAAATAAATGAGTTATATTAAATGCTGGAAGTTTACCTGCACAGTCAGGAGTCCTGGAGGGGCAAATTAAGGCCAGTGATACCTCAGGTACCAGATAGTGTCGGTGGAAAGTGCAGGCCCGAACAGTGGGTTCAACTGAGCAAGAATTGCTATCAACCAGCTGACAGAAAGAAAATAAAACAAGATGAAGCAAGTGAATACAAATATACACATCAAAACACATCCATCTATTCATCAATGGAAACACAATTATAAATCTACACAACATGTCTTATAAGACTACATCTGTTATGTTTATTGGACAGGGTGGCCTTTGTGAAGTAATAGCAGTTGGCTGCAACACTGCTTTGTCTCTACTGCCCTCTTTTGCCCACTGACATGTAACAAAACACCAGCTGTACACTTGCACCAAGTTGTGGCCATAAATAATTTATCACAGAAACACTATATGTACAAATTAATATGGATCAAAAAGGAGGAGGAACACCAACCAAATCAATCAATCACAAGCCTCAGCAAAACAAATGAAGGCCACTTGTGGAAATGTTCTCCAATAGCTTTAACTCATTTCCACTATTGATATCCTACACTTGACCTCCATTGTTTTAGTTAAACATGAATCTATACCTATAATAACCAGCAAATCAATCTAAGGCATGACTCATGTTTTCCCCCTTAGGACACTTCAGGCTTTTAATTGAATCCTATTTTACCTCCAGCAGCTTGTGTTGCATGCTGTTTTTAAACTTTAATGCTCAAACTACTGTTTTTATTAGTTTACTAACTTTGTCTTTCAAATACTTTTATTGATATCCAAATGTGTGCTTTTATGCTCTTACTTGGCTACTGCTCATGTGTGTATATATGTTTTATAACACATAAAATAACTATGACAACACAATGTGGGAGACATTGATGCATATCCTGGATGATAATACTCACAAGAGGTAGCAGCAGACTGCAGTTAAAACCAGCATGGTGACAATCACTCTGTGGGAAAAACAGAATTAAATATTTATAAATGGTTAAATGGTTAACTGGACATCTAATGACTGTACTGATGGTTTTAGAGCACAGCTCCATTTATGCAGCTTGATCTCGTGATGCGAGTGACAAACAGGCAAATAAAGGAAGTTGCATTAAGTTTGGAATATTTTCCAGGATATTCATTCAGACTGGTAAGTGAATACAAATACAAAAATGTCTGTAGATGGAAGTTAGCAACACCAGCATACAGCTTCTTAACACGGAAAATAGGGCTGTCAAATTAGCTTAAGTTAGCTAACAGTAACTTTTACTAACTAGCTAGCAACGTTAGCTCACAAAGTTTAAACTTCCTTAACTGTCTCAAAGTTGTTTAAAACTTGCTTAAATTGACTTTAAAACGCTCACTGTACCCCTGCTCGTGATAAAAGAGAGTAAAGAGCCAAATTAAGAACAAAATACGTAGCTTTAAGTTAGCTCTGCTGAAGGCTAAAGTGAAGCTAACGAACTCACCCTCTGTTCGGTCCTTTGGGGATGAACCAGGGAACGACACCGCCAACAATCCCCCAAAACAGGGTCATCACCGAGATGGCGATCGCAAAGCCCATCTCCGCCATGGTGGGAGTTTTAAAAGAATATCTCAGGAAGTAGAAACTTTTAATTTGAGCTGCAAGTGTCGATCCTCCAGCCGACGAATACAGAGAAGGAAGGCAGCAGGTATCACATGACTCTACCAGAGAGGGAGGGAGGGGGGGAGGCAGCGGGGGACTGCTGCCACTCAGGGGAGGAGATCATGTATGAAGATGAGGGGGGACACATTATAACAGGGAATTTTGAATGGTAAGCACTGACTACACTGTATTTTTGGTAAAATTATGAAGATAAAGTGAGATCAACTTTATTATTTATACAAATGAGGCATGAAAGAAGCGAGACGAGACATATAAGAGCACAATAAGGCTAAAAACAAAGATGACATGATGGATTTACATGTGATAAGAACAGGTAAAATATAATAATGTGGAACAGTCAATGTGTACGTGGAGTTTCTAAAGAGATATAAAGTATAGGATCTGATGCAAACAGGAAAACAGTAAGATATGACAGACATGCAGAGTGTAAGAATTAATAAATTAAACTTAATTTTACTCATTTTCAGACGTTATTTTAGGTTTTGGATTTTGTTTGTTTTATTTTCTCCTTTGCCTGTATGATCGTGTGGCATGTCTAAAATCAAATAAATAAAATTTATCAGTATGGCATGATGGATTTACACATTGATTGTGATTAGACAAGTAATATAAAAGGAATAAAGACAGCTTTACTATGGATTTACATTAAATGTGTACATGCATGTCATTATGGATTTACATATTGATTATATACAGGTATGGCATCATGAGTTTAAATATGTATATGGACAGGTATGGCTGTGCAATAAAGCCAATAATCCTGGCCCACCAAGACCCAAGCACCCCTCCTATATGCTTATTATCAGTCCTAATTTCACACTGTGCTTCAACTTTTTCATACTCCTTATTTCTTTGACCAGCACAATTTGCATGATAATTGCACACTCTTTTGTACATCGATTTTCTTACCTTTCTAAAATGAAACATCTATCTATGCCTGTGCAGGTGTGTCATGACAGATCTATATATAGATATGTATAGGTATGGCATGATGCATATTAATGAACCTAACTGAAGGACACACACGGTGTATAGAATTGTACTTTTACACAGGATGGTAGTGCTGCACTTCTATTATTGCACTCAAAATTATAGAATGAAAAGACCAGTGTTGACATGATGTTACTGCACATGAAGAGCTGTAAAGAGAACAGTGTTGTATTTTGTTGTTGATCTGGAAGAGCAATAAAGAGGAAAAAAATTGTTCCATTTAGTTGTTGAGCGATGTGGAGACAAACAGTGTTGCATGGTGTTTCTACACTTGAAGAGTGAAAGGGAGAGAAGCAGTGTTGGGTGAATTGTGTTGCACTTTTATGCTGTAAAGAGAAAACAGTGTTAAAGAGATGTTTCACTGGAAAGGGGTGCACCAGTATGAGCCCTTCTGCATTAACTGATGGTTGAAGTTGCTTTATTTATGTAAAGGTGGACACAGAATCTGGGCACCAAAAGCGAGATTGATGGGTTAGCCTGTGAGATCACTGTTGTAACTTATGCTACAAGTCTAACCTGCTCTGGAGGGGGTATATGTAGAGTTTTGGATTAATATCAGCTGTAAGAATTGTCTCCCTTTCACCAAATCGCTTCCTGATGATTCTCAATGAGTGGTACAGATTCTCAGCTGAAGGATTATGTTTTATCCGCAAACCTGTTGATCTACACGTTACCAGTATCACAGAACAAAGCTGTGCAGTTGCAGCTTCTTGCCATCTTACTGGAACCTACATGCATTCAGATAGGAATGCAGAAAATGCATAAATGTGTTTTTATTCTTGGTCCTGTTTTGCAGCCAAATCCGACTTACACTGCTGATACTGAAGCTATCAGAACACTGTCTGCTGGTATTTATCACCATGAATATTCAGTCAATGACACTGATTTAGTTTAGATATGTCCAAAGGCTAAAGTGATATCCTTCATTATGAAAGTGTCAGACTTTGGTACATTTCTTTGACATCATGTTTAAATGCATAAGGTTAAACAGCTCTAATGTACAAAAAAAAAACCAAAACATTTTTAGAATCATCATCGTTCTCCATTATAACAGTCTGTTGAATGAGCCAGGCAGCCCGCTAATGGCTCTTTTTGTGCAAAAGAAGTCACCTGACACCCAGTGGGTTTTCACATTTGATGTGGTGTTTTTGGTACATAACATTAAACACTGATAAGCAGGAAACTATTAAAAATACATTTGAAAAAAGATTTTGGAAAAGCCTGAGTTACAAGTCAATACACAGTAGGTAGGTAACAAAACAACACTTAGTGTCGGGGTGAAGCCTGCGTTAACAAAGAAAGTCGATTAACACTCATAACTCAACTCGGCGTATATGCATGAATACAGGACTGCTGCAATTGTGGCATTCACCGAAACCAGGCTAAGCAGCAATGACAGCGACAGTTCTCTGCATATTGACAGCTTTGGGACAGCAATAAGGCTCGACCGTGACTGTCAGCTGACAGGGAATTCCTAGGAAGTCTACATCCACCCTAAAGCAAAGGCAGCTGCAGCTTCAGATCCCATCATGACTGTGCTTAACAGATTGGAGCTCATGTCCCCTGACTCTCCAAAATTCACCCTTGGCGATTTTATGAATCTATTTGTTCATTTTGTGTTTTATTTTCTATTGTTTATTTTTTTTGATGTATTTATATTAAATACTCAGTGAGCTTCTGATTTGCCCCAGGGGATAAATAAAGTTAACTGAATTAAATTGAATTGAACTGAATAATACCCACTGGAATCTCTGATTGGGATTTTAGGTTTTGTCAAACCGGTTAACACAAACAAAAACCTGGCTCTATCAAAACTGCTTCGTGGTTTAGCCCTCAGGTGACATAATATATTGTAATTTAAATGCAGCATGGCATTCTGTATTGCTTTTAGACATTTATTGATATAGCTGCCATGAATTGGATTCAGTGAGTTACAACTTGTGTTCATATTAGTAGACAGTAGAGTCACTTACGGGCTTTGTTGATAAAACACCTGTTGACCTATGTCTGCGTTAATCATCTGTGTATTGCCATGCCAAGCTACTTCTGAATTATCAGTCATCTCTTGATATCATTTGTGCACACTATATTTAGGCTAATTTTTATTAATGAAAGTTACTTAGGATAAATGTTTTGGATCTTAGTCTTTTTGATAGCATCATACAGGATAAACCAGGTCCGACCTCAGCCTCTCAGTAACTTTGATCATTTAATATTATCCCTGCTGAATCGAAACACATATAGACATGACTTGCTCTTGTCATTTTTTACTTTTGAGAAAGTTTGCACTTTAAATGTGCATGTTTCACCTTTTCAAATCAATGACACATTTAAATTCTTTCCTAAAATATTAGCATTTCACTTTTGGAGACATATTTGTGATTCCGCCATCAGCCCTTTCCTTTTGGAATGTCATGCTCTGGCACTCGTCAACCTGGAGTCCATCTGTTCAATACTATCACATGCAGAAATGTGTATCAGGGTATTTGCACCATCTTACCAGCTCAGTTTGACATCTTTACAATCTTTAAGGATCAACAGAACTCTGAACTGCCAGGCCTCATACACCTCTGCACTCTTTAGCATGCAAATGTCACATAAAAAAAACTTTTCTCCACAATTTAAAATTTGTTTCTCTATAAAAGGAAAACTTCCAGGAAACACCAGAAGGAAATTAAATTTCAACTTTCATAAACTGTTTGGCTAAAGCAGCACTTGTTCAAAAATGATAATGTTGTGTATGCTTGCAGGGCTTAAAACAACAACAAAAACAGGTATCTGACACCTCATGAAAGGTGGATTATAAACTATCTGAGTTAGACTACCTCATGGATGCTTGAAAAAGAAAATTGCTAATGTTCATTTAAATGTCCATAATGCACCAGAGCCACAATCTGTTGACATTTAAAACACGACAGACAAAGTGAGGTCCATTTTATACAGTTTATTGTTAGCAAAAGATCATTTTCACTCCTGCATTTTCTCAATGGTCTCCTCCTTGTATTTGCCCTTCTCCTTTCCATCGGCGCGAGACTTGGCCTTGCGCTCCAAGATCTTCTTGCGGTCCTTGTCCAGCTTTAGCCTGGTGATAACCACCTGCAGAGAAAAACAATTGGGATGGTTAACATCTCACTGACAGCAGTAGCAATCATGTCAAGAAACAAAAATGTCTGAAAATAAACTAAAACCTGGCAACTTCACATCATTTATATCACTGCACTTTCACAACTACCAACGAGACCCGTGACCAATAGACATTCCATCTTAGCTATAAAGCTGCTGTTCCACACGAGGTAGGTTTCTGCACATTTAAGTCACACCATTACACCAAACACATGGTTTATCAATCCAAAAATGACCCACTGCTGTCAAAACTTCCCAAACAACCTTTGTAAGGCTGTAAAAACAGCACAGTAGCACATAATCTTGGGTGCATTCCATAATAGGAGTCTATTCCAGGGCCTCAGGTGTAATGTGTGCTGCATTTCTTACTGGACACAATATAAAAAGAAAATACTCATTACTGCAATTACGTGCACCTGTGCCTTTTCTGCTATGACACATCCAAGCGGTGAACACTCGCCTGTTCAGCCCATTCCTCCACTGCCAGTATCAAAAGTGGAATTTGCTTTGGCCAGCTCACATGGTCTGAGTGCACTGCAAAACACTGCTTTGTGGACTTTTCATCAATCTGTCACTACTGGCTTACACACAACCCACCGACATTCTACAACCTGGTACCACTTTAACTACATGAATACAAATGGACCTGCAAAAAAGGGAAAATACTGAACACAACAAAATGTTACTGGAGTTGCGCAATTTAGTTGATTTATCAATTGAGTAAAAACTAATCAGGAGCTGTGCTGATAAATAGTCATTTTCAAAATGAAAGTATTAAACATGTCTGAGTTCCAGCATCGTCAGCTGTGTGGATTTGTTGCAGCGGTTTTCACGATTATGTGATAGTAAATTCAACATTCTTTTTAAATATTTTCAACCATTAGTCAAACAAAACAGGATGTTTGTTGACATTGCTGTGGGCTTTAGATAC